CCAATAATTTAAAACTCCTTTAAAGAAAAGGAACAACGTATCCTTTAAAACTTTGATTAATTCAACCATTAAAGTAACAAAATGGGGAATATACATTATATCATACCACTGACATTACGACGAGTTTGTAGGCCAAGTGTAACAGTAAAAATGTTTGCACGAGTCACATAAAATAATAATTAACACTTTTTTCGGGTTAACGGGCTACAATAGCTGGCGCTTTAATTAGATGTCTCTGAACGTGTTTATGCATGGACTATTCACGCACAGTTGACAACTCAATGTGTCAGTGTAAAATCCACCTTTCATTGTTAAATAAACGGGTACATTAATTTTACACATTTCCAAAGACTGAAAAGAGGGATTTTGATCTTGTTTGATTTATTTTTAAGTAACTTAGTACTTTCTTTGAATGTCATTTGAATTTATATTTTCTACACATGAAATTCTATGAGAAGGACTGATTATGTTAGGCGATAATCTTCGACAATCCTTTGATGGTGGTTTCGTTAATAGAAAAACATTTTTGGATTTTGTTGGAGCTAATGTTTTTTTCTATACAAAGTCGCTCGAAGACAAAAATATAAAATTTTCTTTGTTTTAGCACAAAGCTACAAAATGGGCTATCTGCAATCTGTCCATAGCTGAAATCGAACCTCATATTTTAGCGTTATAAGTCCGTAAACTTACCACTGAACCACCTGCAAGACAATTAAGCATATGCCTTAATAGCAGCTTCTTCATTAAATAAATTAAACAAGCGATTAGTTCTAATTCACTTTTTAAAATCTTTTTAAAACATTTCCATAAATCTACTATGCTCTAGTTTATCTTCCAAAATAAATTTTCATCACCTTCTGTTTGTACAGTAACCAGTAAACAACTCGCTAATGTTGCCTTTACCGATTTAGAAGAAATTAAAACATGGATGTTTGATCTCTACCATTTTTTTCTTTTTGCATCTGTTTCTCTGCATTATACTGTTTTCGATGAATTATTTCGTTACTCAGTACTTTAAGTATAGGCTAAACCAAGGCTAACGAGATTGAACGAGGCTCATTTAAAGAGGAGTATTTAGTTCTTGCGAATGGCTCTTTTAACGTTCTTTCTCACCGCTAGATACTCTAGGGATTTAAGGGACAGCTACCAATTAATTCCTTGATACTTTTAACAGGACATTGCAATCTGTAAGACTTGCTGGTGCTTTATTCACCGTCACGTGCTCGCTACACTAGCCATACATGTGTGTTATTACCACCATATTTCTTTCATTAGTAATTTAGAGAGCGTTTAGATTAGTAACACAGTTTTATCGTCAGGGGGTGGCCTAACAAAATAATACGCAAAAAAATTTGTAAATGTATGCAAAAGTTTCCAGTTCTCTAGATAATTTTTAATTTTTGAGATTACCTAGACAAAAAAACGAGTTGACTGTCACTATTTTCATAGGCTGTTTTTACATATGCAAAACTCATAGACAGGGCAACCATAAAAATCAACGTTGCGTTGAACATAATCTGTTCATATAATCATGTAAGTATAAATTGTTAATAATATTATGCGTCTGAAAGCGCTCTTGATATTGGATTTTTTTTCTGATTCTAATCTTTTTCTGTTGATTTTGAATATCATGAATATATTTGTAGCAACGTAGAGTAAATTGAACGTAAAATCCACATTATTCTTTAAATGTTTTAAGTAAATAATGTATTACTAACTGATGTACTTGTTCAACGCACGGAGAGGATATAGGTTGCTTTCCGGTAGGCCTAAAAGTTTAGTGATAATAATTTCAGTGTTTCGCCAGTTATAAGTGGACACAATGAACGGGGAAGACATAGAAACTCCCAGGGGTGGCAAAAGGGAACGTATCCGAATTCCGGCTTATCTATGCCACTCCCTGGGAAGCCATAAGATTATATGCTAGGTTTGGTGATATTAGGTCCATTGGTTTGCCAGTTACAAGCAGACATAACACATGGGGAAGACATATGGGCTCCTAGTGGGTACAATGTGAAGTAAGATCCGAACGAGGACCTCTTATGTCACTTTTCGGAATGTCTTAAGGGTAAATGCTAAATTGGGTGACAGTCGGTCGAGCGGTTCTTCAGTTATAAGCGAACACACACACACAGAGACGTTTGTTAGATAATGTAACGTTTTGTGTTACACCTTGTGTGGAATTTAACGAGTCTGTGGTACAGCTACAAGTGGTATATGAAGAAACGTATACGGCAGGGGTACGGAAAGTGTATAGCTGTATTTTGGTATAAGTGAGTTGGTGGTTGAGCCTTTCTGATTCATATAAAGAACATAAGTAGAGATTATAACGTAATTCAAAGTGATTTAACCAATATGTATAAATTACATATTATGAGTAATTTCTGATAAAGTTCGTAAATGTGAACGCATGCATATATTATGAGTAATTTCTGATAAAGTTCATAGATATGAGCAAATACACATGTCACGAGTAATTTCTAATAAAATTCATAAATCTGAACAAATAACTTAAGTGAATATCACGATACATGTGAGTAACGTAGCGTGGGGATTTGAGCAAAATAAGTGTTCGAGGAAAGAAAAACCAAAAAGAGCAACCTCATTTCAGGTTTAAAAGTTCGAAGTTATTTAATGTTATTTATGTGCTGGTCGATAAAACTTATTACTGGTAGGAGTTGTGCGTGCAAGCTCAAAACACATCGATTTTCTGTGTTAGAGTCAAGATTTGCAGGTCGTTATGACTTCCATTGCAAGGGAGTTAACACCTGGAGACCAAATAAGTCAGAAAAAATATGAGGCACAGGAGCATCACCCATCTCTTGTTCTATATGATTTATTTTTTTACGTTCAAATAACTAGATGCTTATATACAATGTCGAGTACATTGTCGAGAAGATTTGTGATGTATTCATAAATAAGGTGCTTTACTAATATGTTCAGTAAACTGTGTCTATGTTATTTTTTCCTACCAAACGTATTGTGTAATTATTTCTGTGCAACAAAGATAACGAATAACACTATGTAGGAAGCATAAGAGAATGGACTGATCTCTATAAAATAATTAATTGTGTTTTATAAGAATTTACACTTTAAAAATTACATTCAAGATAGTCTTATCATTATCTTCTAACGAGAAGACGCTGTTTTCAGAGTTTTTTTGTTCTGAAGAGTTAAAGCTGCCTTCAAATCAGTTGAAGTTTCATTGAACTGTGTATAGTGACGACTTTAGTTTTGTTGAACTATAACAGATGACGATTTTAGTTTTGTCGAAGACATTAGTTTTGCCAAAATTGTATAGGCCAACGGCGCTATTTCTGTTAAACTGTATAGGATAACCATAATGGCGATGTTGAGCTATTGAAGATGACGACAATATGTTTTACTTACATAGGATGACGACAATAGTTTAGTTAAAATGTATAGATCAGTTATGTGCATAGATTGGTGGCTGAATGGGCTCAAGGCTCTGCCTTCCTTCTCTTATGCCCTAAAAGTGCCCATTTTCTCATTCATAAGAATTGTCTACAACTTCTAAAAGATACCTATGATTCTACATATTTCTTGTTGCATGAAGAAAAAAATAGTTTCACTTTAAATTAATGGTACACAGGTACTTCTAGGGCTTTACAGTAAAAAAAACAAATGTGATATATTATTAAGTGATATTAGGCAAGAATTCACTGTTTAGTTTCAGATATTAAAAGTGTTTATAAGACCAACTGAATAGGAATAACAGAGGACCTGTTTACTTCTGATGATTTTCTACTCTATGTGTACCAGAGGCAACCCACAGTCCTCATAGTCTCTCCCTAAAAAAAGTCTTGCTTTACGATTTTTGAAACGTGTTCTTCCCTCAACGACTTCCCGTTCTTTTAATGTCCTTTGTTCGTTAAGGGTACAGGTTTCACTTAATTTTATCAAACTATATAAGATGACCATAATGGTTTTGTCGAACTGTATAGGTGGCGACGTTAGTTTTATTAGGCTATATAGGATGACAAAAATAGTATTTAATTACATAGGATAAGGACAATAGTTTGAGCGATACAAGTTGACGGTTTGAATATCTGCGCTAGCCATCCATAATTTAGCACTGAAAGACTAGATGGAAGGCAGCTAGTCATCACCACCTATCGCCAACTCTTGGGCTACTCTTTTACCAACGAATAGTGGGACTGATCGTTACCCCACGGCTGAAACGGCGTGCATGTTTGGTGAGACGGGGATTCGAACTCACGACCCTCATATTGCGAGTCGATCTAACTAGCCACCAGGCCATGCCAGGCCTAGGTTGACGACTTACTTTTGTTGAACTATACAGGATGACAACAATAGATTGATGGCGTTAGTTTGTATCTATGATCATACGTATATAACATGCCTTCTAGTGTTTTATTGATTATTTGAGTTAATAAGTTTTTTTTTTACTTGATCTTTCTTTCTTTTTTCTTCCTGGATCTGCAAATGTTAACAACATGACGACAAACTCAAGCACTGGGAAAAAGATTGCTATCTACTGCGGCAATACGCGTATTAGATGGTGTCTAGGCTACATGAACTCAACTTATTATAAGTATACTTGAATGTGGAGTTCCAGTCATCTAAGTAGGGTAAACTCCACATTCACACCTAAAGGAGGAGACTTAATTAAGTATGCACTGAGCTTGAAGTAGTAAGTATAGTCACAGGTAGACACTGAATGTTAGTAAGCTGTCGAGGAGATTTGTCGAGAGTTGTGTTAGGATATCATTGTGAAGTTTTCGCGAACAACTTTAATTATTTAGGCCTAATATCTAGCAGTGAAGGCTCTTTTGACTACTTGCTTTTATAGAACTGTAAAAATGCCGTGCTCTGTTTCTTTCAGGAAAACGGAGTATCATTGGTTTGGCGTTCTGTTCAGAGTGTGTAATAGTGTGTAACACCAGAGTATCATTGGTTTGGTGTTCTGTTCAGAATGTGTAATAGTGTGTAACACTTGCATCTTTATTTCTTTATAGGTTACACTCAAAATGTGATGGTTACTCAAGACGAAATGAAGGAGAAGATCGACTACAGATCTACAAATAAAACGATATTATACTCGCCGTCTGGAGCTTCCGTTAGTTCTAGAGACAGCGGAGAGAAGGAATCTTACGGTGGGGAGTACCCAGCGGTAAACGGGAGTCTTGACATCGAATCACGGCGGTACTGTGGGGATTCAGAGTGTTCCCAGAGTTCCAATTCTAGTGGTGACAGCCATTCTACAGCTTACAGATACGAATCATTCCTCATTAGAGACGGGAGATCACGCCGAAGAAAAGAATCGAACAACCAGAATGAAGAACAGCCAACAAGGCCCAGATATACGTGCACCGATTGTGGGAAACACTACGCCACGTCGTCTAACCTGTCACGCCACAAGCAGACTCATCGTAGCCTGGAGTCTCAGCTAGCAAAGAAGTGCCCGACATGTGACAAAATATACGTTAGCATGCCTGCCCTGGCCATGCACGTGCTCACTCACAGTCTCGGCCACAAATGTTCCGTATGCGGGAAAGCATTCTCTCGACCTTGGCTATTGCAGGGTCACCTACGCTCCCATACAGGGGAAAAACCATTCGGATGCGCCCATTGCGGCAAGGCCTTCGCTGACCGGTCCAACTTGCGGGCCCACATGCAGACGCACTCCAGTTTCAAACACTTCCGCTGCCAGCGCTGCAACAAGACCTTTGCTCTCAAGTCCTACCTGAACAAACACTACGAGTCCTCCTGCTTTAAAGACTCAAAGGACTGCTGAAGTCGCATGTTCAAACAAACTTTGCCACTTCGGTCACGTTGCTGGTTTCTAATCGGTTGTGTCGAGTGAGCACAACTCATAAACAAAAGGAAATTTTGCTTAGCCTTACATAAAACAAAACTGGAACTTTACAAAAAGTTAACCAGCCAAAAAGACAGGTTTAAGTCTTAGTCGAATGTTACATTCCTTCTCCACAATTTCGAGCGCCCTCTGTTTTGCTCTGACAAGAAAGTGAATTAATGCTCAAAGTCTCTTTATGTTATCAATTTAAATTATTTGATTACAAAAACCGAAAAGAAAGCCCTGAGAATTATTCAACGAACCGTAATCAATTATCTATTGACGTAGCAAGTAGCATATAAAACCATGCAAGTAATTGTAAGCAATAACAAATAACACTTGTTGATATCTTTTTGAACATTCTTCTGTGCGAATGGTTACAGGAACCACCTAGTTGCTGATTGTGTTAACTTCCACAAGAGAGTTTTGTGTTTGCTGCCCATTCCACTCAAACAACTCAGCCGTCAGATGAGTACAACGTCTGTTCTACGTCAATGATGACTTTATTTTAAACACCGGTTAGTTAGAGCTACGTGGTTTTTTTTTATCGCATGTGTTCAAGCCTAATTAAATATCACTGGTTGCGTCTATTGCTACAAAGGAGGTATGCACGACGTGGACACTCGAGTAGAACAGATTTTTTTTGCTTCAGTGTGTACTGTAACGTCTGGTTATTTTAGTCATTATGATTTTTGGATAGTATGTATTTTTCAAGACTCGATACAGAAATTTACATTAGAGGGTAAGTTAAGTTCTTCCTGTACTTAAATCCAAACTACTTAATTTAATAATTGAGCTCACAAGGTGAACCTTTCCTCACATTCACCTGACACGTTACAGGTGTGTAGCATACGTCATCGAAATTCCTCAGGCTGCACCGTTGACTTCTGAAACATTTTGACGATAAATGCATTTTATGCACATCTACAAGCATTCTATTTGTTCATATACATGCATCTGGTTTACCTCCCTTTTATACAGATATATATATATATATATGTTTACGTACAAACAAGTTATACTAGAAAGTGCGTGAAATTTTTAAGATAAGCACGTTATGTAATACTTAAATCATTTTATCGATAGGACTAATTAAGTGTAGTTAAGTAGCAAGAATGAAACTTTTGGTTAATACTGCTTTTAAAAAAAATTCAAATCCAGAATGTAGTACCAAACATACAATAGAATTAAGCTCAAGTGGAAAGTCTAGCATATTTTAGGTGTTCGTGTCCATTGTGGTACTTCAATTTAGCCAATACTAGACCAGTTCATGTTAACTGAAGGTATTATGACTTTCACCTATATACGTCAACACCGCTATACTCGCTGACTGTAGGGCGGCAGAAAAGTATGACGTGTACGTAACTGAAAGTACGATTATTGTGTGGTGCGCTGGCTTGTAATTAGGATTGTAGTTCAAAACAAATTCGACCAAAAATGAACGAATAAGCGATCTCAACGTGAGCACACATCAAAACTGAAACATTTAGTAAATAGCGGGAATATAAAAGCAAAATTTTAAAAAATCAAAAATAATACAAGTTGTCACTGAAATAGTCATGCCCATCTTGCCCACTACAACCACCACTGTTAATTCCACTGAAAACATACGATCTATTTTAACACGTTTTCATATGCCCTCACTTCAAAAAGGGCCAATTTTTGTAAACTTATCTACAATGTTAAAACTGAATTCTTTTTCTTCAATAAGCTCTATTTCCAAAATTATTGATATAACAAAATCAAAGCTAAACTTTTTGAAGCTGTCGTCTTTCATGTTGCATACTTCTCTTGTTTTATTTTTTACCACTTTATATTCTCATAAGTTACAATAGACATTATCTTATTTTTTCATCTTTTTTAATAGTCTTTCCCGAAAGTAAAAGGACTCAATCTTCAAACTCATTTAGAAAATCAAAAATTTTATAGCAATTCAAAATTATACTTTTATGCTTTGAAAAAAGCCCTTAATCTAAGAAGTCCAGAATTTAGAGCCAAATGTCTTTATTATATTATTGAAAAAAAAAGAAGAGAGAAACTAAAGCTAAATTCGTCAATAACCACAAAACATACATTCATGAAATGAGTTGAATTCATTCTAGATTTAATTACCTAAAAATGCATGTCCAGGTTGCCCGTTTCTAATTTGTACTTAAAAAAAAACAACAACAAGAAAACGAAACTCATGTTCGTAAGTATTTTTTATTATTATTTAAAATGATGGGTATTTTAACTAACTGCCACTTTTAATAAGTGAAATATATGTATTCTCCTACAGTTGTTGAAGGTGGAAAATGAAAAAGACTGTGACAGAAGTTCCCTCCGGGTATTTCTGTCAGGAATTTTGAAGTAAGAATTTATCGAGAATTATGGCACAACAAAATTGATAAATTTTGCTAACAACAAAAATTTAATAACAGTGAAGGCATAAGAGAAAATATTTCTACAATATAACTGTTATATGTAAAAAAAGTTCATTCAAAAATATGTATGTGAACAGTAACATCCCTGTTTATATCGTGGTTCTGACAGTATTGTTGAATCCGGGTGCTCGCTTCGGTTCTATTGGAGTCTAATTAATTAAAAAAAACAAAACAAAAAGAAACAAGTAGAAAATAAGAAACAATACTGGCAGCAATACGGTACATTGATATTTTTTACAGCATCAAAAATGATTTTGACTGAATCTTTTCTGCATCCAACATTATTCATATTTGTTAGTAATAAGCATATTAACGATTTTATATTTCATATCCTGCATTTCAGCTTAATAGTGAAATGTATGGACACAAGTGACATCGCTGCCATTACTTTAATTGATTAGGTAGCTTTCCGAAACTCAGTTATAATTGGTCACGGGATTAAAGCAATACTGTAATTACAGTCTGTAAAATAATTATCAACAAAGTCAAATTACTGCTACAGTTTTATCAGCCTGTTTCATTTTTTGTTCTTTACCCAACATTAATTTGTTACTTTTCCGGTATTGCATGTGATTCGCTGCCTTCAAAGAATAACATATAGCACCACACCATTTTCCTTCTTTTAACATGGATGACTGTGAAAGACAAGTTCCTTTAAACCGAACTGACACTAAATTCCGCATTAATAGCCTAAAATAAGAGAAAAAAAAAAACACACTTCGATAAGATGGTTACCGTTGCTATGGAAACGATACTCTAGCCTGATTATTAAATTAACCAGTTATGTGTACATTGTCGCGTTAAAGTTTCTGTACTTCAGACACGGCGAACTAGAAACCCAGCTCTAGTTTTTATGATGTTTTATTATTAGTCAAATCGAAGCCAATTCGCAGTAAGTAGCAACAACACAGTATAAATCACGACGGAGAAAATAATCATAAAGAAACATCAGTGAGAGCAAGTAAATAAAGGAAACATTAGCCTTAAAAACAAATAAACTACAGGTTTCGGCATAAAATAGTACTGTAAAACGAAACGAAACCTTCTTTTTTCTTAAAATATCAAACAAACAAGAACAAGAATTGATAAGCTACTCTGTTGATGAAGACGAATGTAATGTTAAGGAATCTCTTCATCTGGACCCCTGAGGGATCTTTAAAGCTATTATATTAATGTATTTAGTTTGTATTTTTATTTGTGATATAATATATATAACGTTTTTTATACTCTGCTAGGTGTATGACAAATATTTTGATCATCGTTGTTTTGATACTACTTAATTTGTTATTCTTAGAAAAGAAAGAAACATAGTATAGCTAACATACAGCATACAGTCAGTATAGCTAACATACAGCATACAGTCAGTATATCTAACATACAGAATACAGTCAGTATAGCTAACATACATAATACAGTCAGTATAGCTAACATACAGCATCTAGTCAGTATAGCTAACATACAGCATACAGTCAGTATAGCTAACATACAGCATACAGTCAGTATATCTAACATACAGAATACAGTCAGTATAGCTAACATACAGCATACAGTCAGTATATCTAACATACATAATACAGTCAGTATAGCTAACATACAGCATCTAGTCAGTATAACTAACATGCAGCATACGGTCAGTATATCTAACATACAGCATACAGTCAGTATATCTAACATACATAATACAGTCAGTATAGCTAACATACAGCATCTAGTCAGTATAACTAACATACAGCATACAGTCAGTATATCTAACATGCAGCATACAGTCAGTATATGTAACATACAGCATACAGTCAGTATAGCTAACATACAGCATACAGTCAGTTTATCTAACATACAGCATACGATCAGTATATCTAACATACAGCATCTAGTCAGTATAGCTAACATACAGCATCTAGGTAGTATAACTAACATGCAGCATACAGTCAGTATATCTAACATACAGCATACGGTCAGTATATCTAACATACAACATCTAGTCAGTATAGCTAACATACAGCATACAGTCAGTATATCTAACATACATAATACAGTCAGTATATCTAACATACATCATACAGTCAGTATAGCTAACATACAGCATACAGTCAGTATAGCTAACATACAGCAACTAGTCAGTATAACTAACATGCAGCATACGGTCAGTATATCTAACATACAGCATACAGTCAGTATATGTAACATGCAGCATACAGTCAGTATATCTAACATGCAGCATACAGTCAGTATATGTAACATACAGCATACAGTCAGTATAGCTAACATACAGCATACAGTCAGTATATCTAACATACAGCATACAGTCAGTATATGTAACATACAGCATCTAGTCAGTATAGCTAACATACAGCATCTAGGTAGTATAACTAACATGCAGCATACGGTCAGTATATCTAACATGCAGCATACAGTCAGTATATCTAACATGCAGCATACAGTCAGTATATGTAACATACATAATACAGTCAGTATAGCTAACATACAACATCTAGTCAGTATAGCTAACGTACAGCATCTAGTCAGTATAACTAACATGCAGTATACAGTCAGTATATCTAACATACAGCATACGGTCAGTATATCTAACATACAACATCTAGTCAGTATAGCTAACATACAGCGTACAGTCAGTATATCTAACATACATAATACAGTCAGTATAGCTAACATACAGCATACAGTCAGTATAGCTAACATACAGCATACAGTCAGTATATCTAACATGCAGCATACAGTCAGTATATCTAACATGCAGCATACAGTCAGTATATCTAACATACATAATACAGTCAGTATAGCTAACATACAGCATCTAGTCAGTATAGCTAACATACAGCATACAGTTGGCATAGCTAACATACAAAATACAGTTGGCATAGCTAGTATACAACATACAATCTTCATAGCTAGCACACATCATACAGTCAGTATTGCTTGTTTAGGATTTGTATTGCATAGCCAGCATACAGCGTACAATTAGTATACTTGTTTGTATAAAGCACCCAGTGTAGAAATAGTGAACAGCGTAGTTTTACAGGCTAGTTAAAAACATTAAATCATTTCAACAGCTATACATTATTGACTCTTGGAAAATCCAAAGATCTAAATACGCTTCATCCTTCTTAGCCAATAGAAAAGTGTTGCAGAAAATGAATGCATCTTTTGGTAGAAAACGGGTTCCATGGTAACAAATGCATTTTTGAGTTTGAGAATATTTTAGTACTTTATAAAGCAATTTATAATTTCTTATTATGGCCACAAATTATTTATATATTTTAATTTTTATAAATGAGTGTACAGAAGAATATATTTTCTATTATTTATTAATTTATCAAAATATTTTCATTTATTGAATCAATTATGACTGTCGTTTTAGAAGTCTTACTTAATTTTCGTTGGATTAATGTATTTTTCTGCCACCAGAAGACAAAAAACTAAGTTCAGAATTAAAAGGAGGAAAGATCCTCTAAATCATTCATGGAGTTATTTTTAAGATAAAGGTTTAAGATGTGAGAATCTTTTGAGTATTCATATGCAAGAACAGGACTAAATAGAAGACATTTCTTATAATAATTGACTCTTTTGGCTCAACGTGTGTTATTATTCGTATTATAATGAAGGGTTTAGCCCGATTTACGTAAGGAGATGTGTTTAGTAACTTTATATTTGTATTAGTTTTTATTCATTATATTTCATCTTTACGAAAGTGATCAGATTGAATGTATAGCAATAAATAATATGTTTAACTTTGTTACTAGTCACCTTATATTTGAATCTGAGTGAGTTTTGCAGATTTAAATAATATTGAAACCCATTATAAATGCACCCAGAAAAAAACTAGAAAATAAGTTTAGATTATTGTGAATTCCTAGAATTGAACGAAACGCCTGTTCTATTTTTTGGCAGTTTGCCAGATTTATGAATATGGAGGGTGTGTGTGGGGGGGGGAGCGGGGTGCGTGTTTTTTTTCTTTTTAAATAGTCTTCCTTATATTCACTTGTGTACTTGTTGGCGCCTCTCAATGTTTTTTTTATGTGCTTATTCGAAAATAAAATAAAACAAAAGTGTGATAAAACTCAATTGAAAATCGAAAGTAAAATGTAAATCAAAGTACCACACCCTTGGTGGATTGTATCATCTTTGTACGTTTGGAATATACAATAACAAATTATAATATTTGATGGTTAGCAATGATTTGTGGAAAGTCTGATTTTATAGGAGATGCAAAGTCTGATGACTGACTCCTTATAACCATAAAAGTTTAAAGTACTTTTATCAATAAAAGTTTAAAATATGTTAGCATCAATACCTTGTACATGCACTTTGTAGAATGTTTTTACTGCCCAATTAATGTATCAGAATTGAAGCTTGTATAATGAATCTAGTCCTATGCAGCTATGACTTGTGTATTCTTAGAAACCAAATTGAAGCAATAAACTAGTTTATTTTCTGGATACATGGTTTGTTTGTATTAATTCTTAATTCTTAAATTTTATTAGCTATATTTTACAACCACATTAACACTGAGAGGCGTTGTTTGGTTTATTTAAAACAATTTGTAGTCAATTAACCAGAAAACTACATGCTTGTTTTCCTCATATTTGCCAATCCGAATAAGAATTACAGAAAATTTACAACCGAGATTCGGTTTAATATAATTACAGGCTTCAAGCCGGATAGATTAAAATAGGGAAAATTTAAAAGCCAACAAATGAATAATAATTACATTTCAAGAAACTGTTACATTAAAGGATATTGTATCTATTATTACTTAAAGGAACATGAATAACAATGAAATGCAACTAGAGCAAAATAAAATGTGAAAATACAAAGGAATTTTTAGAATTTCCTTTAAGAGAAAAATATATTTATGAGGCTCTTGTTTCGCATAAACATTTATCATTTGGTTGAAATTTTAGCCCTATAATTACTCTCTCTTTGAGAAATTTCTTTGTATTAACGAACTTTAACTAGTTTAAGACAAAGTATTCCTAAATAGTAGCGGAAAGTACTTCTTTCTACAAATGAACAGCTCAGATGATAAAATACATGGATTTTTCAACATTTTAGAATATTATAAAGTACAAATAGGACTTGTATTTCATCTAAAGCAATAAAAGTAGAGGAAGACAGTCTTAAAAGCAAGATTCTTGTAATCATTGGAAAATTGTTATATAACTGTGGTTTTTATTACAAGAATCTCGCTTTTAAGACTGTCTTTCTCTACTTTTATCGCCTTAGGTGAAATACAAATCCTATTTGTACTTTATAATATAAACATACAAATTAATATAACAGAAGATTTTACGTTATAGTTTGATAAAAGGCTGAAATTACTAAGAACTCTGTGATGTATTTTTAAAGTGCGATTCTTAGATCTCTGTTATATTCTTTAATTCGATATATATATATATTCTGTTCATGATGTGTGTGTATATATAAATATGTATAGTATGTGCTTTGTGTGGATATACATATATTGTGTTTTCTAAGTGGATATACAGATGGTATCTTGATTTTGTGCGTATAGAATTATTGTGTTCGCTATGTCGATATATATATATATATATATGTATATTCTCCTCATTATGTTGATATATACATTTTTGTCACTTGTGTGGAGATACACAGTCTGCTTTTTATGTGCATGTGTACATTATTTTTTTTTCGGGGGCTAAGAATATTCTGATCTATATTTGGTTATATACATTATGTCTTTATGTGGATATATTCTCCAGTTTAGGTCAATACATACATTGTCTTTCTTAAGAGATTATATGTATATTTTTATATTTATATGGATATGTATTCTGTTCTTTAGTTGGCTACTATGTACATTGTGAAATACTCTCGTTTTTATGAGGATACATGTTTTCTGTTCTTTATGTGTATATGTACATTATGATCTTCTTGTGTATAGACACATTCAATATATGTATATGAATTCCACTCTTTGTGTGAATATAAATATTCTATTGTTATTGTTAATACATTTATTAAGTTCTTTATATTCTATGATTTAGCTCTTCTTATGTATATATATATATATATTCTGTTCTTGGTTTGGAAGTATGATTTTATGAAGTATGACAGTTATGCGGACATATACATTTTGTTAGTCATATGGGTATGTCTACACTGTGTAGTATATATTCTCTTCTTTACGTGCATCTATATTCTGTTTTTAATGTCAGTATATAAATATATATATAT